TTGTTTTCTGGTTTTGTTTAGTTTTTAGCCTGGTATGGTCTTATACCTTGTTGCGGAATGGCTTTCAGCCAGCAATCCAGCTGTAGCTGGCCGGAATGACACGAGCACCTAAGTGACTGGGACCGTGTTGTCTGCATAATTCCCAATCAAACGCATTCGCAAAACGGTTTGTTGTTTGAGTTCAAAAACTTGTTTTCTGAATGATAGATTTAGGTAGTTGAATAACCTGATTAAAATACAAGATGTGTTTTTGGTCCAATGCATACATAAAATAATGTGAATGGCCAGATCTGCAAAGCCGTTCAGAATTACGGACCATATGCAAACAGATGTCCGGAAATTCTGGAACGTAGCCAATAATGATGCCAAGCGGAATATGACACCCTGAGCCGGAAGGATTACACTTGGCACGAGGCAGCTTCGTAGGAGCCTGGTCCAATTTCTCTGCATTTTGTAGGAAATTTGTAGTCTGACCCGCAAGCAGAATTTTGGCTAAGTGCCAAAAAAATACTGCAGAAACGTCATGTGAATTTTTCTCTTTTTTTTGGTTTCCTTTTCACGGTGCGCTGGACGATCTTTCAAGGGCCAAAAGTGTTCCCATCAGTCGGACACGGGTTTCAACCCGAACTATTTATGAAAGCATATAACTTTAGGTGAATATGTGTTTTACGACGATGATTTAATGATTGCTGATAATGATGATGAAACGTGTGCTTTAAGGTCGTTACGTTGTAACATGTCACTCATATAGCCTGAAGAAATCCCCCTCATTCTCTGCTTTCCTCCTCTCCAACTCATAATATTTTTATTCCTGACCGCGCAGAACCTGCGTATGCCAACCCCGTGGAGAAGCCTAGGCGCAGTGCCACCAGAGAAGCGAGGGGTCAAGTATCCTCTTGCCAGTTGCTAAGGAAGCAACTATAGCCGCTTCCCTGTCCGTTCTCCGCATGCTTGGTTCAATGCGCGGAAACCCACCCCCGAAATCGTTAAACTTGATTGTCTTATCATGACCCTGCCCGCCAGTTCAGTCACAGTTTAGTACAATTTCAGCCCGTGGTAGAGGCTTCAAACTTGTTTCGTTGAATGACGACGCAGGGGAGGGGCAACGCAACAGCAGTGTGTCAAGTCCATCGCCTTCGCCTGGATCGAACGGATCCAGCTCACGCCGCAGTCGCTTTGGCAGTCTAAACGGTCACGTCAGAGCACGTTTGGCTGCGCTTAGTGCCGGACCACAACCGGTGCCGGTGTAGGCCTGGAAGGAGTATGTAAATACTGTGGTGCTCAAGCATCCGTGTTGTTGGAATGTTTTATCACCACCGTAGTAGGTTACCAGATTTGCTGTTATTTGTTCATGAAAAACTAAAGCACTTTGAAATCGGGCGTCCAAGCCAAAGCGCAGGGTCAGGGCAAGCAAACATGGCACATCAGCCTGCAAAACTGTTACATTTACACTGTACATACACAATTACACTGTACAGAATTACACTGCACACACACACACACACACACACACACACACACACACACACACACACACACACACACACACACACACACACACACACACACCCACACACACACACACACACACACACACACACACACACACACACACACACCACACACACACACACACACACACACACACGCACGCACGCACGCACGCACGCACGCACGCACGCACGCACGCAACGCACACGCACGCACGCACGCACGCACGCACGCACGCACGCACGCACGCACGCACGCACGCACGCACGCACGCACGCACGCACGCACGCACGCACGCACGCACGCGCGCGCGCGCGCACGCACACGCACACGCACACGCACACGCACGGTTATACACTGACTCATTGTCTGGTCAGTTGGTCTAGATGATAATACGCACCGTGCTGCCTGCTGAGAAGAAGCCACGAAACCACGATAAGATTTTTCCGCCGGCATAAGGCAACGGATGTTCTTTCGTGTTGGGAAGGAGAGTGTGCGAAAGCCTTTTGAATTATTTCTTTCAGTCAACGCAAAGGGACTTCAGAACGTTGTAGGTGTCAGTCCCCAATCCTGTCCGTAGTTACGCACCCCCATGCCTTGCGGCGGTGCAGCACAAAGCACGTGGGGAATCTGCATGGCAAAGACCACCAAAGAGAACCCCAGTTACTAAACACACGATTTCTCTCATTTTGTTTTATTCAAATATGATGGTTTTGCGACATTGTCTCCCTACCAAAAATTGGCGGCGGTGCCTCCGTCTGCACTGTGCAGCAAAGTTCTAAAACATGTAGCACTAGGCGTGAAACGGCAGCCCTCACAACAATCTGCGAGATTGATCCAGACAAACATTGGGGCGTTCGATCTACACCGTAAATACTACCTTCTTGCAAAGCCTGCCACCTTGTGCTTACTAGTCCTGCTACAAATGCAACGGTAATCGGCTCGCCTGGCGTTCCATCACGCAAATTTGCGCTGGCAAATTGCAAGGCAACTACCAGGCAAGTTCGTTTTGTATCTGCCACCGCTTAAGAATTCTGTTAATGAAAGAAATGGATTTGGATTGCCTTGCACTTTCTTTAGTTTTGAGCAACGTATGGCAGCAAACGCTCATTTCAGAGTATATAAAGGATGCATTGAAGGAGACCTCATTCCTTGGTAGCTTTCATAATATGATATCTGTCAATTAAGGCCAAATCGCATTGCATCAGCTCCGTTCCGGAAGAAGTCACGTCGGCTGTCTTCCAGTCGCCTACCATTCCTACTACAAGTGCAACAGTTTTCGGCTCGCTCAGCGTTTTCTAGAAGTGTATTCACCCGTACCTTGCAGATGGTTTGACGTATTTATTGCCCTGATAATCACCGCCATGCACAGCTCAGCTGGCGCATCGCGGCCATCAGCTGTCGCGCCGTCACCCGTGTGACCACGCACCGCTCTTGCGATGCGACATAGGCCACAGGTCGGGCACCTGCGATGTTACAAAGGTCACAGGTCGGGCACCAGGAGGAGTGGAGCGTGCGGCGCCACCACGTCATGTCAGTGTGACGGGCCGCTGGCGGGTCGGGGGCCGGGGCCGACCGCCAGTGCAGAGGAGTCATCGCTAGTGCAAGGTTCAGCCATGTCGGTCCGAGTGTTCTGTCTGCTCCTGGTGTTCTGCGTGGTGCTGGCCGTGGCACAGCATCCCCGCTGCTTTGAACCTCTCAAGGTTGGACCGTGCCGGGCAGCCATCGAACGCTACTACTACGACTTAACTAGGGGTAGATGCCGCCAGTTCAGCTGGGGCGGCTGCAGCGCGAATGGAAACAACTTCTTGGATAGAACACACTGCCAGACATGGTGTCTCTTTTACAAGAAGAGTGGCTGATGGTGCAGACCGGCTGCAATGCTGCATGAAGCAAGTGCGACGAGAGGCCGTCTGGACAGTGATTGCAGCAAGCGTGCTCAGGCGGATTGAAGCAGCTAGCATTCCCACGAGTGGATTTAAAGCACCGATGTTGTGTGGTATATATTGGTCTCATTTGTAGCCACGGGTATTTTCCTCACATCAGCAAAATGCACCACATTGGTCGACGTCGACGCAATACATGCTGGGCCATCCTATCGTGAAGGAGTGTAAGCTGAGAGCGCCTAACAGATCTGACTGTGAAGCTGAGGTGTTATGTCAAACTTTGCAACCTGAACGTTGTTGCAAAGTTTCACGTTTGAACGTTGAATATAACTGATGATGTCGACGTTTCCACAAAGTAACCTCTCAACTCTGAAAACTGCCTAGCGGCACTTATAACTTTTAACTTTGCACCTGTACCATACATATTAAGTACGCTGTTCTGAAAAAGCACGAAACAAAGCGTGACCTTCAAAATCAAACTTACCATAACGCAAGATAAGTTCAGGCTCTCACTCTTGTCAAGTTCAAGAGGACAGTCTCATATAGGGTCCCTCATGTAAATCTTGTATTCGTTTGAGTGAAATCAGCTATCATCCGTAATAAGTTCCTTGATCGTAATGCTATCACGATTATTGTCCTTTAGGTCTTTCACTGCAGATACTTCGTTACACACCTATCAATTCAAAGTGACGGCTAAGTTTGGGCAATATCGCGATGTTGCAGAAAATCATGCAGGCGCACTGTCATGATCAGGCCACCGCAGCGTCCAAAAGCGTGATCGGTCGGGCTACTGAGGTCTTAAATTTTCGATAAGTTGGCACTTGGACAAGTTGGGCATCCGACCACTCCAATAATAATACCATGATGCCGAGCAATACAAGGCAACGCGGGCTGCAGGAACAACAGCAATGTTGGCTATTTGGCAACGCAACTTTCGTCCTTTTAATTCGGCGATCAGAGTACATGTATAGGGACCACCTGTCCCTGCTTCATGGCGAGCGAACAGGTGATCCATTTGAGACCTGTTCCGTCCGCTCTGCCATCTGCTGCCGTTGCCGCCGCTACAGGTGCATTCTCGTTCTGACCCTGCACCTCTCGCGCCGTTCAAAACGGCGCGCTGCCGCGGCGCGACCGTTGCGCGCGCCGCGGCGGCCAGCGCGCGGATTCCTGGCCGGATTGTGCTGGCCGGCGCGCCGGGCGCGCGCCATTCAGTCGCGCCAATAAATCCACGCGCACAAAGCGCGCGCCGGCCGCCGCGTCTTTGAGCGCGCGCCGACCGTTGGAACGCCACGCTTTTGTTGTCTACCGTAACAGGTGGCGCGCTCCTCCGCGGGATGCTGGACGGCCAAACGGGTTGAAGACGCCGCGATGGTACGGAAAGTGGGCCAGGGTCTGCCGCGCGGCGGCCGGCGGCGCCCAGGGACGGCGGAAGGGAGGGCGGTGCCTCAAGCGGCGGTCTTCTCCTGAGTGTTGTTGGTCGGGCGAAATGTTAGGCTAAGCACAGGATCTGGCACAATCGCTATCGTTAAGTGCGCCGTGAGCGGAGGAACGCAGGCGAGGAAGGCGGTGGGTGGCACGATATTCTCGTGATCCCGTTTCGTCCATGGTATGACGAGTTGCTTAAGGGCCCTTTATTTCAAGAATCCGTCAACGTTTACATTCTGCCCGAATGCGTCATATTGGCGAGTGTGTGCAGTTCCGAAGATAGACCCACGTACGGTTTATGCAAGGATCATAACAGTCAACTTTGACCATGCCTTCAGATCTGTGAGCCCCAAAGCTCACGTTCCACGCGCCTTAAGTATTACCAATTTCGCGAGACTGCGTGTCTGAACGAGTTAATTAATGATTTACAGTTCCGTCCAGCTTATTTGTTCAAGCCGCAAGCATTACAAATTTCGCAAGACTGCATGTCTGAACGAGTTAATTAATGATTTACACTCCCGTCCAGCTCATTTGTTCAAGCCGCAAGCACAGCACCAGGTTTAGCAAAAGGCGCACTCTTCTTCTACAGCGGCCTTCCTCTTCTCAGCGGCCCCAGCGGGGGAACCCAGTGAAGCCGCCCACGTTTCCGCGGAACTGGCGCCGCACCTCCTCGAGGCGCCGCCTAGTGTTTGCGAAGATAGCGTCAGCTTCCGCCCCCAGGCCACCGGCGGCGCCACCGAAGCCGTCCGGGCCGCTGGGGATGGCGAAGCCGCTGAAAGCGTCCGGGGCTGGTGGCAGACCGCCGGCGCCACCAGGCAAGCCCGGGCCTGGGAAGCCAGCGCTGCGAGGGAAGACGCCTCGGGCGGGCAGACCACGCGGGCTGGGGAGGCGCGGGCTCCAGCCGGGGCTTTCGGTGAAGGCGGCGGGGCGCCAGCCGCCGACCGCCGCGTCGAACGCCAAACGAGTGTGCGTGGAGCTGCGCTGCTCCGGCAGCAGAACGGCGCCCGTGTCCGTAACGGTGCGACCCTGCTGGCCGTTTCGGTTCACGTCCTGAAGAGGCCAAGCCAGGTCAGGTCAGGTCGCACTGGGCTATAAGACCGCGACAGACAGACATACAGATACAGCGATGTCGATTTCAATGCAAGTACTGCGTCGTTCACCCCTGCACTGACACAGCATTGCAAACATGGCAAGCGATTTCATCTACGTCATCCACGATCCCTCATATTCTTCGGGCGCAGAATAGCGATTCCTAAATTCGCTCGCCACTTCCGCCAGCGGCGTGCACTGCGTGGCACGGACCTCGACCGTCCACGTGCGAGACCGGCCTCTCGAGGTCCGTCTGGATGTCTGGACGAAGGTGCCCTGGCCGTCACCGTAGATCCAGTTCGGTACCTGCCCGACCCAGCAGCCATGTTGTCAGTTATCGAGGTCACATCGGTCACACTAAGTGGTCACCTCGGTTACACTGACTGGTCACATGGGTCACACTGACTGGTCACATCGGTCACACTGACTGGTCACACTGACTGGTCACATCGGTCAGACTGACTGGTCACATCGGTCACACTGACTGGTCACATCGGTCACACTGACTGGTCACATGGGTCACACTGGCCGGTTACATCGGTCACACTGACCGGTCACATCGGTCAGACTGACTGGTGACATCGGTCAGACTGACTGGTCACATCGGTCACACCGACCGGTCACATGGGTCAGACTGACTGATCACATCGGTCACACTGACTGGTCACATGGGTCACGCTGGCTCCAGCGGGTCAGGATTAGCCCGTGCCCTTTCTGACCTGCGCCTGAGGGGGGGGGGGGGCGGATGGTACCACCACCAACGAGAGGCACTGGTGCCATCTCCTCTCTGACATTTTGGGACCTGCATTTACGGACGTGACGTATGATAGCACAGGAACAGGATGGCTTGGGTCCGTTCCGTCATCGTGATGTGTCTACAGAACGTACCTATATTCCGTCTTATCTATTTTCTACATTCACGCATACAACTGCTTGTGGAGGTTTGTTAGGGTTCTACCGTTTTCCTGTTTGGAATACGGAGCCCCGTTCAATCCTCTTCGTGATGGATCCCTAGCACCTTTGAAATGACAGGAAAACCCATGTTTTTACCAGCTGTTTTAGTCCTCACCGATTCACGAGGTCGCTGCTGCGTTATGAGAATGTATTGCTCCATACAAGTACAAACTGCAAATTGTCATTAGATTGCGGAAAATTATTACATGTAGCTTTCATCGCATTTCACCACGTGTTTGCTTTAAAGAAGCTAGACCCCAGCTTTCCGGTTGAAAGTCCTAACGCAATACCATTGGTACAGATACACCAAACGATCTAGCCCACGTCCCCAAATGCAAACCCAAAACAGTCCCAGATTCAAGTATGCACCCTAAAACAGACACGGCAAGCGACATTCCGGACCAGGATTCAAGCACGTATCAACATTCCTGAGATCCAACCAGCCCTGATGTTTTATGTGGTCACAGCACGAAAATAGCCCAATATTGCGGTAACATGCCATGGTCAGGAAACCCCTCCTGGTCCCAGTGGTGGTTACGAGCATATGATTTCGCATGTCAGGAAACGAGCAGCCCTAAACGTGATGCATATTTGAGCATATCAGCTCAAATATGCATCGACTTTGACGGCGCGCATGCAAGACAGCCACAGGACGGACTACACGGCACACCTTCCATGCTCACCGATACCGTTCATCATGACAAGGCACGCCAAGTGGGTCGTCGCCCGGTTATACCCGTCTGTGGCGTCGACTGCGCGGCTCGGCGTGTGGCTCCGATCTGCCCTCCACCGGCGACTGGGGCGTGCGGGTCTGAGACTCGGGCGGGAGGCGGGTGTCGGGGGTGCCGGCGTCCGCAGCCGGGCGCGAGCGAGGCCCCGCGCTAGGCGGCGCTGCTGGCTTGCTGGATGTCCCGGACGCCTTTGGCTGCGACGGACGACTTGTCTGGCCGGCGTTGAGGTCAGGCAAGAAGCGACGGAGGACTGAGCCGACCTCCTTCCCGGCATCCGCCATCATGTCGGTAAAAATTGGCCAAAACTGCGCAAACAGTTCGTCGTTTTCGTCTTTCTGGTGCTTTTCCTTATCGTCTGACTTCGTTTTGTTCGGGTTTGCAGACGCATCCACAGTGTCTGGCTTCTTCTTCACCTTGGGAGCAGCGGTGTTCGTTTGGCCATTATTAAGACTGTCACTCGAGGAGGGCTTCGGTCGTCGGGGATAAACATAGATAACTTCTTTCACGTCGACCCAAACCTTCGCGGTTGGCGTCTTCACGGATGGCGGCGGAATGACCGGCCGCAAGGGCGACTCGGTCGTGGCGATCGCAGCGTCCTCTTTCTCGACGTGTTTTGTGCTACGACCGTTAGGTGTCGGTACCACCGCGCCTGCCTCGGTGTCTGTCACTTGAGGGTGGGTCGCTGAGTGCTTGGTGGTTTTCGCGTTCCATTCAGCGGCTGACTTCGACTCAGATTTGCTCTGAAACGTGTTTGAATTTCAAAAGAAGGCACGCTGATGTCATGAAAACACAGCCGTGACTTACTGACCTGCGGATTGGGCGGATCGGGGGCGCCTGAGAACGAATAGCGAAACGGAGCCGAAGGGCTTGGCCGATAACCATGTGACCGTTCTTATGCTTTGCCGTAAATATTCACGTCTATAGCTCAGTCAAGACAACGTTTTATCGTAAAATGCTCCACTGACGTAATCTCACCCAGAATCGAACGGCATTCGAAGACCTATGTCCTTGGCGAGCGGCACATATGTGAATTTGTTTCAATAAATTGCATTCCACTCAAGATTTGAGCATGAAATACTATTGATGCATGGACGAAGTCAAACAGCCACCACGCTGCATAGACACATCTGGCGCATCAAAGGTGTAATACCTTAACGGTCAGCAGGCAGCGGCAGCGAGCAGCGACAAAGTCGCATGGCGGCACCGTATGCCGGGACATACATCAGGGGTCTTAACCGCCCGAAAGGTTGGCGATCACTCACCGCCGTCTTCTCCCAGAGTGACAGCGGACCATCTCTGGTGACGAGGATCATGGCCAGCGTAACCGCCAGCGTCAGCATGAGGACCATGCAGAGCATCAGCAGGGCCCACAGACACTGCCGACATGGAGGCCCCCGTCAGAACGGACGTTTGGTGTTCGGAAGGTCCCGGGATAGTTTTCAGAAACGCGCTGATTAGGATCGGAGGAGTATTTTATACAATGTTACGTGCCGCGAATACCGGGACAAGCTTCCAAACTAGTACATTTCGACTTCAGTGAGCAATGTGGTTCAGGAAAGCTTTCAGAACGCGAGGGTATAGTCGTATGTTTTTCAATGGCATCAACTTTCCCATTTTGCCGAATGTCAGCGGTGATGCTCGGCAGAGCGAGAAAGGTCTGTGGGTCAGCGCTCGTATCTAGGACGCCTAGAACATTCACGACCATCGATGATGATGATGAGGACTAACATTAGAGGGCGTCGAGTACTCCCACTTAACTCAGAACCGAGGCAGTCACATTTTTTGGCAAGGTCAACACATACGCAACATCCGCGAGAAACACAACAGCTCAACAACTTCTCTGAAAAGACTTGAACGCTGGTTCTGATGTTCTCAAAGGACTCGGATGCTGATTCGTGCCTTCTCAAAGGGCTTGGATGGTGATTCGTGTATTCTCAAAGGTTTGAATGCTGATTTATGCGCTCTCAAAGGACCTGGACGTTGACTCGTGCGTTTTCAAAGCACTTGGATGCTGATTGGCGCGTTCACAACACTGCGACGGGCGATCGGCCAAATACGGCACCACGCAGATCGATTGCAATCAGTTTGGGCGCGAACGTGTAAACTTCAAACTACTGCCCTTGTAGCAAACAGCAACAATATCGCGAACCCAGACCAACCCTGGTTCGGGAGTTCGCGTAACTCCACAGCCGGCTCAGCCTGGTCAGGCACAACTCACTGCTTTGCTGGGCCTCGGAGGCGGCGGCTGCAGAGGGGGCGGCACCTGCTCCCCCTCCTCCGCCTTCTTCTGGACATCGTACAACGAGTGCTTCATGCGGGCAGCGGCGGCGCCGACGGCCGAGGACGTAGTGGCAGCCGGCGACCGGCGAGGTGGCGGCCGGCGCCCGGCCGCGTGCTGACGGCACGTGACGGACCGCGGTCGGCCACAAATGTCAGGGCGCGCTGCGGCGGCGGTGCTGGTATTTACCGCGGCGAACGGCGCCAAAGGCAGGGCCGGCCGGCGCCAGGGGCAGGTGCAGGCTGCAGGCGGCCGCAGGCTTGCGTAGAGGCACGTGCCTGGCAGGCACGGCACGCGAGCCGGCCGTCGGCTGACGAAACCCGGAGGTCAAACAAGGTCAGCGACCAGAAACGTTCCGGGAGAGCGTGCAAGGTTCCTATGGCTAGAAGCGATTCGGTGCCCACGCGAATGGGAAAAACCTGCTCTCCGAGAGTTGCAACGGGGAACACAGGAACGCACAGACCTTGAGTGCACAGTGCATACCCGTTTCCCGTCAGACATACATACCCGTTTCCTATCAGACGTGCGTACCCGTTCCCTATCCAGACATGCGTACCCGTTTCCTATCAAACGTGCATGCCCGTTTCCTATCAGACGTGCATGCCCGTTTCCTATCAGACGTGCATACCCGTTTCCTATCAGACGTGCGTACCCGTTTCCTATCAGACATGCATGCCCGTTTCCTGCCAGACATGCATACCCGTTTCCTGTCAGACATGCATACCCGTTTCCTGTCAGGCATGCATACCCGTTTCCCATCCAGACATGCGTACCCGTTTCCTATCAGACGTTTATACCCGTTTCTTATCAGACGTGCGTACCCGTTTCCTATCAGACATGCATACCCGTTTCCTGTCAGACATGCATACCCGTTCCTGTCAGAGAATGCCCGTTCCTGTCAGAGAATGCCCGTTTCCTGTCAGAGAATGCCCGTTTTTTTGAGATGCCCTTTCCTGTCACACATGCATGCCCGTTTTTTCTGTCAGACACTGCATACC